GAGACCCCCCCCCCCAAAGTGGATTTGGTGGTTATGGGGCTGGAGAGAAAAATGGGATGGGCTACTGAGGAGGTGTTGGTGAGGTGACAGTGTCGTCTTCCTTCCTCTTCATTTTCTCCCTCTAGAATACTCCCTCTGCAGCCCCTCCTTTCTCCTGATCTAGTCCAATTTTCCCCTCATTTCACCTTTTTTCCACCCTCCTCACCTCTTGCTCAGTCCCGCTCACTCTTCTAGCCCCGCCCCTCCAGCCCCCCTCCCGCTAGGCCCCGCCTCCCGCTAGGCCCCGCCTCCTGTCTAGGCCCCGCCTTCTCCTCCCTTCCCCGCCAGCCACAGTGCGGCTACCCTGTCACCCGTGCCCCAGCCCCCAGAAAGCCTGTACGCGGCGTGCCCTCCAGACGGAGGAGCCCGAGCTGCGGAAGGATGGCGGCGGCGGCGGCGGCGGCGGGCGGCTTCTCCGAGGAGCAGTTCCTGAAGGCCTGCGCTGAGCTCCAGCAGCCAGCGCTGGCCGGGGCCCCCTGGGAGCTGCTGACGAAGACCTCGGGCATCAGCATCCACCGGCTGCTGGACCAGGTAGCGGCCGGCCCGCGGGAGGACCGCGGCGGCCGGAGCGCGCCGGGCTGCCGCGTAGAGGGCACCGGGGCGGGTCTTCTGGAGAGCGGGGAGGAGCTCCGGCCCGGCCCCGACCCCGGCTCCAGAGCGAGCGCGAGGGCGGTGCTCCGAGGGAAGCCCCGTGCAGATCCAGGGAAGTTGGGAGGTCATCCGAGTTCAGCCTCAGGTCGGGCCCAACTGAGGAAGTAGTTTGTGAGAAGTTAGTGACTGAGTTAAAACGTGGGTTGGCTGATTCCTAGGCCCATGCACATGGCTGCAGGGGACGGGGATCCCCTCTCCCCAAGCGGTGCCAGTGGCGGGGAGGAGTGGTGTTCTCGGGCTTGGATATGCAGGAGTTTTCAGGGACTGGATGTGCAGGATGGCTAGGGTGGGGGTGACTTGCTTCTGTTGGCTGCTCTCAAGTTATACGACAGAGGGCACCGGGGCGGGTCTTCTGGAGAGCGGGGAGGAGCTCCGGCCCGGCCCCGACCCCGGCTCCAGAGCGAGCGCGAGGGCGGTGCTCCGAGGGAAGCCCCGTGCAGATCCAGGGAAGTTGGGAGGTCATCCGAGTTCAGCCTCAGGTCGGGCCCAACTGAGGAAGTAGTTTGTGAGAAGTTAGTGACTGAGTTAAAACGTGGGTTGGCTGATTCCTAGGCCCATGCACATGGCTGCAGGGGACGGGGATCCCCTCTCCCCAAGCGGTGCCAGTGGCGGGGAGGAGTGGTGTTCTCGGGCTTGGATATGCAGGAGTTTTCAGGGACTGGATGTGCAGGATGGCTAGGGTGGGGGTGACTTGCTTCTGTTGGCTGCTCTCCCTTACTTCTGAGTCGCACTTAATAATTTGAGTCTGAAGCTTCAAGCAGAAAGATTAACTAAAGGTGTAGGAGGAATGGAGTGGCTTATTAAGAAATTCTCAGGCGTCACTGGAGGCTTTTGGAACCAAGTAGCCATCCAGGTGGAAGGCATTGCACCCGAGGCCTGTCATCAGAGGCTCGTCCTCAGTTGCTTTGTGTGATAGTGGCAGCATGGCGAGTAGGTTAAAAATCGCAGGCTCTTATTGTAGGTGACATCGACGTTTCCTGGCATAGGATGGGAGTACCACAGTGTTTGTGCAGGAGGAGCCCTGGTGCTCGCGTGGTTCAACACCAGGTTTCATAGATGAAAGACACAGGCCTGGAGGGGTGAAGCCATTCTCCAAAGGGGCCCAGCTAGGTTAAGGGCAGAGGTAGGATTGGAGGGTTTATGGTCCTGTGACTGTTAAACATGTGGTTGCTTTTTAAAGCAATTGCATTTTAGGTTACATGGAGTGGAGTATGTCTATATTTTAAAGCAGAAAGCAAACACTTGTGATAGAATTTGTTCATTATTTTAAACAGTCATAAAAACCCTGTCCCACCTCCTTCCAGGGTTGTTAGGAGGTTCAAGTCAAATTTAGCAGATGTGTGTGAAAATCTTTGAGAGCTGTATATAACTCTACAATGCACAGGACAGCCCCCTGAAACAGAGGGGCCCAAATTTACAATATTGTCAAGGTTGAGAAACCCTGCTCTGAGTAAGTGACGAATACTGGTATAATGAAGAAATGTCCTCTTTGCTTTGAAGACAGTCCTCCCCTCCCCCAGTTACTAGGGCAGTGGAACATACTAATTTGAACACTTGAAAATAAGACATTCTCTTTTATAATCCAGAACAGAGCAGTACGAGAAGTGGGCGAGCTGTCATATTTGTTTTTCTGTACACAGTTGTATCTTGGTGGGTATCATTGATTGGACTTACAGTATGAAATTCTACTCTAGTCCCTGCCATTTCAGAGACATTAATCTCCTGATGATGATTATCAGCCTGGAGGAGGCCTTGTTCATATTTTCATTTAAAACTTTACGGAATGTAAAAAAGTTCTAGGTGTCATTTCATATCTTCACCGATTGTTTTCAAATGCATCCAGAGGGAGATGTGTCTCTCTACTGCATTTGCACATCAGTAAGGTTAACAATTAATCACTCAACAGACTCTGAATGCCTGCTGTATACCCAGGACCATGTCATTTCATATCTTCACCGATTGTTTTCAAATGCATCCAGAGGGAGATGTGTCTCTCTACTACATTTGCACATCAGTAAGGTTAACAATTAATCACTCAACAGACTCTGAATGCCTGCTGTATACCCAGGACCATTGGGTAGAACAAGATGAAAATGAAGCCCACAGTCTAGAACAGGCAGAACTAATTTCCTAGTATAACTTTTACAGATGCTTCAGTGCAAAAATGGATGTGTTTTCAGACAAAGTCCTTTTATCTTCTGACTGTCACATCTTCCTTACTAGCCACATGAAGGCATTTGCCAAGTTTTGTTGATTCGACTGCTCATCTACATCTGGCATCTGGCTCATTTTCTTCCCTTTATCTTTGCCATATTGGATTCTTGACACCTCTCACCTAGAATTGCAGTGACCCGTTAACTAGTTTCTTGGCCTTCCACCTCTCTGGGCCCCTCTATCCTACACATCACAGCCCAATCACACGTCTGAAAGAGAGGCTGTGATCTTATCACTGCCCTTTCAGTGGCACTACTGATTGCACAAGTAATAATAATCATCATCACTGTATTAGCTAAAACTTACTACATGCTCTTATAATCCAGCCGCTGAGTGCTTTGCAGGTATTGGCTTACTCAATCCTCTCATCGACCCCATGATAAGGTACTATGAGTATCACCTTTTTACCTATATGCAAATGAATACATGGAAAAGTTAGGTTAAGTGAGTTGCTCAAGATTCCAACTGGGATCAGAGCCCAGCTGTGTGGCTCCAGACCTGTGCCTTAAATATTGCATTGCCTCTCTGAACAGAACACAAATGCTGCCTGTGCATTGAACTGGTGTGGTCCCAGCTCACCTTTCTAGCTTTATCTCTCATGCATGACTGCTCCGCACACCTCACCTCTTCTCCTCCAGCCAACCCAGACCACTCCATCTTCTCCATGGACTTGTGCCATCTTCCCTTTATACAGACAGGGGAATTGAGGCCCAGAGAAGATAGTTAGCACACCCAAAGCACTTTTTCTAACAAAGCTTCCCCAAAGTGGAATAGGCCAACTTAGGAGGGATAAGTTCCTCATTATAGGAGGTATTTAAAAGAGACTGAAGACCATTTGTTTATATAATTCATTCAACCTTTATTGAGGGTCTGCAACGGGTCAGATGAAATGCTATGGATCTGAGGTAGAGTTGCTCTCCTGAAGATTCTTGTGGCTTAGTTGTGAAGAAGTTGTAAGTATGGGCTGGATTGATGGACCTTTACAGAGCACATTGCCACCGTGTGATATGGTGGTATGTTGATATGGCCCCTCCCTTTGCCTTCACACTTAGCATCAGAGGTGGCCAACTTGAGGCCAAGGCCATAAGGCTCCTTGGGGAGCCTTATTTAACAAGTCTTGAAACAAGGATGGACAAGAACAAAATTGTGATCATGTTCTAAATGATGGTCAACAAAGTTATTATTACATGTTTTTAAAAAACTGAGCTAAGTGTAAAGGCACTTGAGTTTTTAATGTAACAAATGATATTTTAAAATAAAAATAATAAAATTGTTGCCTTTCTATAGTAGACACAATGATTCCGAACCCTGTTCTTGGACAAATGGGCACTTTTGATGTACAAGATCTTGATATATTTTTTGTTTTCTCTTTTTCTATTAAATCACAACATTTTAGACTTAAGAAGTTTCTTCTAAGCCATTCTGTCCAACACCATCATCTTTTCCATTAGCTTCTTTTTCCTTCTTTTTTTGTATCCTGTTTCCTTCCTTCCTCCTGTTTTTTCCTTCCTGCATTGTAATGATAGTAACTTACCTTTACAGGATGCTGCAGTTTGCAAAATGCTGTCACATATAGGTTTTCATTTATCTCTCTAAACAAATCTGGAAGATAGGCAGGTATGGGCTTATTTTCCTATTTTATAGATGGGAATAAGACCCAGAGTTGTTAAGTAAGCCACATAAGACCCCGTAACTAGTAACTAGCATGAGCCAGTCTACTTTGTTAAACTCAGTACCAAATAGGCAGTTTGCTTTAATGCGAGAACTATGTTCTCTTTCTGGAGGCTAAGCAAAACTACACAAGGGCTTCCATGTGGTATCATGGGAAGAGTGTGCATTTTGGAGTCAGATAGTCCTGGGTTGGAATCTCAGCTCTGCTTCACTGTCATTCATTTATTTATTCAGGAAATACTTATCGACTGCTTCCATGTGCTGCTTCCTTTGCAGACACCGGGGATAAGTGGTTAGCAAGGAAGAAGTAGCTGCTGCTTCAATGAATGAGCTTCTTGAACATGGATCATAATCACTGATGAGAATAAGCCCATAGTATATAATGAAAGATTGGGTGAAAAATGCTATGAAGAAAATAAAGTGTAGAGAGATGGCATGGCAGGGATGACCAGGGGTGATGTGATGTGTTTTAGGGAGTCTGGAAAGCCCCTCCACAGAGGTAACATTTGGGTGAAGATACAAGTGAAGTGAACAATTGAATCCTGCAAGTATCTGGAGGGGAGATGTGCTGGAGGGTGTTTCTCAAAGCTCAAGCACGTTAGGATCACCTGGGGAGCTTTAAAAGCAACACCATTTGGATTTGTAGAGGGAGAGAACAGACCTAGGGTTGCCAGCGGGTTGGGGGGAAGTTGGGGAGAGGTTTAGTTAGGGATATGGGGAATAATTTCAATTTGAGGTGGTGGGCATGCTGATAGTATTGATCTGATTGCCACACCTTGGCACATCTTGGGCACAGGTGCTGACTGTCAGCTCTGTGCCCCACGAATAGGTATAATCGATAAAAAATTTTTTAAAAAAGAAAGAAATTGATTAATGGACACAAAGAATGATCACATTTTCTAATAATAAATATGCTAATTATCCTTATTTGATCATCACACATTGTACACTGATATTGATATTGATCTCTGTGGCCCACAAATGTGTATAATGAATTAAGTTTCACTTAAAAAAATTTTTCATTAAAGAGGCACTAACGTTATCTGAAAACTAACATGCCTGACAGCAAACCAAAACACCACACCCTCCCCTAGGGACTCAGATTTAATTGGCCTGGGGTGAGGCTTGGGGCAATCCTTTTGAGAAGCTCCCCCTTCACGTAGGGGTTGATAATTCTGTTTTCTCCACTTTTGTTTGAAA